TAAATGCAAAATTGAAAAAATGAAAGATTTGATTTAAATTTAATTTGGACAACAAAAACTTGGACTCAAATGTGATAGGAACTACAAAAGGTTGGACCATGGGGGACTTGAATTTGCATTCGATTTGAACATTGAATGAAATGAACATGACTTGAACATTTGAACTCAGGCAAAGAACTTGATTTGGGACCGCAATGAACTTAACTCAAACTTGAACTCGAATTTGGGCTTAGACTCATTTTCAAATAAATGAAAAAGAGCTTTGACTCAACTTGGACCTAATTGAGAACTACAAGAGATCATGTTATGACATGGAATATTACTTGAGTTTGGACATAAATAAAGTAACCAATTAAGAATTTGATTTAAAAATGACATCAAGATTCTAATGGAATGTAAAAAAATATCATTTCAATTTGAATGTAATTGCTAATTAAGAAATTTGGGTCATTCAAATCTTATGCAAGCAAGCAAGTGGAAAACAAGCTCTCAATGCATTCAAGTGAAGAATGATGAAGATAAAATGGCTTAGACTATTCAACCAAGTCAATTTGAGAATGACATATGTATCAATCATTCAATCGACTACAACTAGAAGGATTCGACATGTAGCTTGATGGAAAAGCAAGTATCAACGATGCAATAAAAAAAAGAGAATAAATATGTAGGAATGCAATAGTGTCTCTATCAACTATTCAACCTACAAAGGAATGCATGAATCTTCTACAAGCATAAGAGTTTGATAGACAATATGTAGTGAATTCAAACATACACACAACCATCAATGACAAACATATTGCAAGGATGATCGGTCTTTTATGAGCATAGATATACGTATGAGACACCATCTAAATGCAAGAGTGCTATGGAAACAATATATACAAATTACCTATAGGCTATTGTAACAGGAGGTGATGGATAAATGGCAGGATGCTCACACAACTGACAACAAAAAAAATATATAGCAAATACGTTGGCTTCTTACAAGCATTGAAGAGTAACGTGTAATGAACGTCAATAAACAAGAAAGGAGCAAGTGCAAGTGAGGGTCCCATCAGTCAGCTTGTATGTAAGGAAAGATCTGTATTACATACAATCTCTATACAAAGACAGATGTACGTGCCACATGCTATTTATGGGTAGATACAGAAAGACTTCAGTAAATGCAGTATCCTGAAGTCAATTTCAGTTTGTGAAGGAATATATTTACCTGCCCACTAATACCACAACAGAGTGCATAAAGAGTACGACAGATACAAGCTCCCACGAGCTTCTGTTGGAGCCCTATTATAAATATCACATATCATCCACGAACAACATGCAAGATTACTATAACAAGTGCAAGTATCCATGAGCCACTGTGGAGGATTCGTAGTACACCCAGTTTATCATCCACGAGCAATATACAAAGTAAACTATATTAAGTGCAAGTGCTTATGAGTTATAGTGAGAAATTCATCGTGCATACAACAAGCTATCCACGAGCATCTATAAGTACAAGGCAGGAGATTAGTTAGTGCACTACGATCCACCTGTAGAAAGCAATGAGTAGTGCACGACAGTCTACCTGTACGAAGCAGCAAATAACTCAATCCAGAAGCTGCTACATGATGTCACCGGATCTGCGACATTCGTACAAGCAGACACAAGACATCCACAAACTATAATGCCACGCCACCGGATCCGCAACATTCATGCAAGCGGACAGAAGGTGTCTATAAATATTCCAAGAATACCCCCACATGTGCACCGTAGTTTGTATACATATAGGTACACTAAAATTAGGGGTAAATTCAATCACAAAACCCGCAAGGGCCCCGGCGAGCGTGTTATTGGTACACACGTGACGTCTAGGGATGCTGTGCGGGTTATTAAATTTAAACTCGATCCTCCTTAAAAGGTAAAAGGAGTTGACAGGGTTTAAATAGGAAATGCCCCCAAAAACCCGAATGGGCCCCGGCGAGCGTGTTATTGGTACACACGTGACGTTTAGGGATGCTGCGCGGGTTGACAAGTGAATTCAAGTTCGAAACTGATCATTCTATACGGTTCAATAGAAGTCGACAGGACTCGAACCAACAAACAAATATATGATTGGGGCGACCGTTATATTTGTCTGAATACATTCATATTAGGCCTTCAATGCCTATAACAATGAGAATTCACTATCAAGGGCATAAAGCCTACGAAACCCGATCCTCTGTCGACAACCCGACATAGTTGATAAGGTTCAATCCATAAAAAAAGAAATGACCCCCAAACACCCCGATGATGGCCGTGTTGAATGAAAATCTCAACCGGAGGGGTCCATCCAAATATTTTCATAATGCCACCCAAATGCCCATCAAAATCCAAAAATCTAAAACTCCACAAAAATCCCCAAATTTCAAAAATATTTAAAATCTGAAATCTATCCATCAAAACGTAAAGCAAAATCCATCCACCCTCCGCAATAATTTGCCGAGGTAGACAAATAAAAATTTACTTCATCTCACAAAAGAGCTAAATGCCTAGTCAAAAATATCACTATGATCCATTCTCAAATAATCTTCTGCTAGTAAGGACGTGGTACGTGTCCTCTGACCGGCGATTTGCCGTCAAATGGCACCGCAGGATAAACGGTTATGACCCGGGGCCCTCTGAACCGAGTGATTTTGCCGCCAAATGTCACCACAAAATACCGGTTATGGCCAGCGCCAATACGTTCCTTATTGGCATCAAATCCTTGAGATATGAATCAATAGGATATGATTGATAGGGCACGAAGCCCTATGTTAGCAAAGGTGAATTTAAATTTGTCCCCTTAAGCAAATACCCATCCCAGTTCTACAAGGTTCCCTTGGACGAAGCAACACATGGCTGCCGATAAGGATCATTCTGTCAGGTTGGGTCGACTACCTCCTCTGACTAAGTAGACCAGGGACCACGATGGCCCGGGACGACGGAACCATGGGATCTTGATCGGGTCTATCATCCATTCCCCCTCCATCCGCTTTAAGTATAAGATGGTGAAATTTTATATTTTAAATATCAAACCCTCCAAATTTCCCAATATCCAAACCCTTCAAATTCCAAACTTCCAATCCTCAATACCAATACTCTATGCTGCTACTATAGCCAGATAACACGTATGTTCTACGTATCTGATTGACGACTAGCCTTAATCGAAAGTTCTCTCTCGTTAGTAGGAGGGGTAATTAATTATAGGGGCTTGTGCCTATAGGAAACCAGAACTCAGATCATAAAGTCTTCACAAAATGAGGGCGAAATCTCTGGATAGTGTCTTATCTACAAACCCATCTGCCTTCCAAATTTTACAGCGAAACTTATTCAGTTAAAACTCCCTCGCCGAATAAAAAGAAAAGCGCAGCGGTGGAGGGCCGGGGCCGAATTTTTGGAGCCCACACAAACTAGATAACATATGTCTAAGAAATTATTTAAGCTACAATGCTCCGTATCATGGAGCAACTTGAAGCTGCCATGAACAATGCTATGAGAACTCATCAAGATGACAGCAAGGGCAATTGGAATGCCAGAGGGGACCAAAGAAACGTAGGAATCATAATTTTGAGATATTATGTGATTTGTGATCTGATGAGTGAAGATTGAAGGAAAGTGAGAAAGATCTAATTGTGGGGATTAGGTTCTTTGCGCCAGTGATGGTGTTAATGTTATTAAAAAGATGACATAGAGGTAGCGAAGAAGGTTCATGTGGAGCAACGTGAAGTTTCCATATGAACGGTGATTTGGGAATTTGTCAAGATGTCAACAAAAGCGATGTAAATGTTGGAGGGGAGCAAAGACATGTTGTGGGAATAAAAATTTTTGGGATATTATGTGGTTTGTTGTTGGCAAGGAGATCTAGTGTCAGAATCCAACCCAACAAGACCTACGAACTCAACAGGTTCTATTGTGTTGAATTGTAAAAATTTTTAGAAAAATATCTAAATGTGAAGAATGGCTAGCTCTACAACATAGAAAAAGTTATATGGTGAAAATTTTGTGGGTACAAATTTATTCATATTTGTGCAATATAAACTTATAAATTTAATCAAACAATTTTTTTGTTTTTTTAAAAATTGAGATAAACGTAATGTAACATATCTCGATCCGAATAAAATTCAGGACTGGGCCGACAGCAAAAAATGGATCGAAATCGCCCAAACCAACTTTCTCTCTCTACTATTTCTTCTTCTTCCTCTCTCTCTCTCACTCTCTCTCTAGTCGGTTGCCTACAGGGAGCGAAATGGCTTTTGATAAAATAAAAAATGGTGGAAATGGGTTTTCTATAAGAATTTTGAGCTTGACTCTACAGTGTCTGATTCTGCACATCGCAGCCCTCCCTATAGGAGGTCACTGTGCTGCACCCTAGCGTCGTAGCATTTTTTTTTTTTTTGCCAAAAGACAGAGCATTATGACGTTGTTTTACCTTCCTTGGTACCGCAGCACCTCAAGGGAAAATTCTAAATTTTTAAACTCAATTTCCTCTTCAGAATAGATTCATACATCAACATGCATGTAGAACATCCCCAGACACTCGCAGGGGTGTTAAAATGCTAAAATTTAGCGAGGGACCTATGTCAGATTGAGTCATAATAGTTAAATTGTGCACATATCCAATAGGTATTTAGGCTTCTTTATTTTCGTGGAGATACAAGATCTTGAAGAAGCTAAACAAATTGTGAGTATTGATGATAGCACCAAGAGCAAGAATACTACAAAATTGTGCAAATAAAGCAATTAATAAGGAGACAATAGAAAAAAGAATAATCTTCTTTTTTTTCTCATGCCTCTTTCAATATTCTCTATCTAGCTATCCCAATTGTTAAATTTGTGCAACCATGAAATAACATTTTTTTTCTGAAAACATAGAAAAATAATCCTTTAAAAAATTTTCCACTATAGCGCCACCAATCATATCATCTATGAATTGTGTAGATTTTCTCAAATAAAATTAAATATCTATAGCTTCCAAAGTGCTTCATATTACCTAAATCAAATACTATGTTTATATCTCAAAAATATAAGACTGAAACTTCTCCATCTTCTCTGGATGCAAAGCTATCCACACATTAATTCCACATTCCTTCTCCTTCCCCATTCCACTTTCATCAGAAACCAGCAGAACAAACTCCTCCATCCCACTCACCACCGGCCCTCCATAGATGGGCTTCCCATATCCAAAATCCAGCTCATGAAATGGAAGCTTCCACCAAGCAGAAACAAAGAAATTCCCATTCAGAGCACAAGGTAAACCCTTGAACACTTCAAGCCAGTCTATAACAGACCTCACATACTCATCATTTACCCTGTCAATGGCCTCCCTCACCAACCCCACGCAGAAGGAGAAGCTCTTCTTTTCCATTTCTTCTACCTCCGCACTTGCAGATGCAGTGATCACTGCATTTCCGATGAACCCATGCGGCAATGGTGGAGACAACTTCGATCTTATGTCAACTGCAAATAACACAGAAGACATCTTCCTCTGGTCATCGAAGACCGCTTTTGTTCTTGTTCTCCATAAGTGAGCCACTACTGCTTCGAAGCTCGAGCATTTCAGTTCAGATTTGTTCTTGAGGTGATTGATCATCTCAGGACTGAATGAGAAGAGCCTGAAATTTGAGATCCTTGGGGGATCTCGAATTGCCTGTGATGAAAGAATAGGAGAGGTGAAAGAGGTGGAGGAAGCCTCCGCTAACTTTGTGTACTCTGTGTGCTTAAATTTAATCTGGGGAGGGCTTCTTGCCCTGATGGATGATCTATCAGTGTTGAGCTCATGAGTCTGCAGGCCTTCACCTCTGCATATTGAAGCCAGACTCAAAAACATCTCTGCTGCTGATCTGCCATCAAGTATACTGTGGTTTACCACAAATCCAACGGAAAAACCTCCACATCTGAATCTGGTAACCTGAGAAATAATAAAACCATCTGAGCACTACTGTGAAAGCACTCAAAATATTAGGATTTACATGTTTAACATCTAAAATTTACTATTTATATAATGTATCACCCTATTGATGGAGTGAAGGGACCTCACGAGGGAAAAAATTATTAGGTGGGTAGGTGCGGAAACCGGACGTAGAGAGATACGTTCAGATATCCACTTAAAATTTAATACGTTGAGTGCATTTTGTTTGCACTTTTTTGTGCGTTTTATTTGTGCTTTACTTCTGCTTTAGTTGCACTTTGGTTGTGCTTTAGCTACTCTTTTGTTGCACTTTTTTATTGTATTTTAATTGCACTTTACTTACACTTTACCTTCGTTTCTGCTTTTGTTGCACTTTTTTTCAATACTTGGGATACACCTAATGATGATGATGAAGTTTTAAAAAAAAGAAGGCAAATCACCTGAATGCTGAATATGGGAGTATCGGCAAGATCATGAAATCCCTCCGTTGGAAGAATGAGATGCTGAAACGAAGGATTTGGAAATGAGAGGTTACCGAGTTCCTTCAATTCAAGGTTTGAAATTGCTCCAACAAATAAAACACCTTTATTGTTGCAAACCAGTTCCAACCTTCCTTCATCAAAGTTGAACCTGAGCCTCCCAGCCATGAAGTAGTAAGGGATCAGAAGCACGTCAGATACTGCTTGCTTCACCAGCTCCATTATAGAAGATGAATCTGCTTGAGCACCTTCAGGGACCTCATAGAAGAAGACAGTTTCCACATTAAATGCTACTGTCTGATCTATGTTTGAGAGATACAATATCTCTGTAGGTGTTGGATTTCTAGGAGAAACCAGTGTAACTGGCTCTTCTTTTCTGACATTTTCTTCACTCAAGAGAGCAGTTTCCATGGAAGAAGAGAAGCTCCGAATAGTTTTGTATGGTGTTAGAAGATTTGAATAGAACTATTTGTAAGAGGTCAATCAAAGATGCCAATTCCTTTTGCAAGAATTAAATAATGAACCATTTGCAGCTAAGCTGCATTTCTTTCTAAAATAAAGAAAGTTCATGGATGAAAAAGCATGAGCATGGTAGGTAGAGGAAATGAGAGAGGATAAAGAGAGTGAACTTAAAAGTAGTTGGTTCTAAGAAGGCCTAATAAAATATACTAAAATAACTTATTATAGCCATATGAACTAATTGACATCAAAGCTGAAAACTTTCCAATCAACTTATTGAATTGAAAGTGAGACATGTTGACAGGAAATGGAAACTAAACTGTATGACTTCACCAGCTTTGAAATGAACTAAATGTATTTAATAAACTCTTATGTTTTTGGTATTTGAACATGTGTTAGACAAGAGAAATTGCTAACATCATTTTCTAACTTATTTGCCATCATCATCTACCTCTAACTCAGTCTAGTACATACACTGGATTTAGAATGTGAATCATAAACTTTAGCCTATTACACAAATGATCATACCCCGATATGCAACCAATTTAACTTGTTGGTTAGGAGCTTAGGCTACCAACTACGAGGCATTAGGTTAGAAGCTTACCTATTTGGGGTGTATGTGTTTGAAATTTATGTTTTATTTGGGACAAATTTCTTATTGCTTCCTAAAACAACATTCTAGTATACAAAACTTTAATTTATAAAATTTTTGTACTAAAAAACTGCTTTAAAAATCAACAAGAAAGCTGTCTTAAATGAAGTCTTAGGCTTTGTTTGGGATGGCTTTCTTATTGCTTCTTATAGTTAATTTTTAGTACAAAAACTAGAAAACTACTATAAAAAATAGTAAGAAAGTCGTCCCAAATAAAATTTTAATTTGCTCAAAATCCAAAAAACAAAAGTCATACCCTTATCTTTTGGAATAGTCATCTTTAGTCAAAATCTGCTTTGATTAGGAGTTGGACCTCGCTCTCATGAAATCCTCACTTGTCCGAGTGATTTTCACATAAATTGTTCTTGATTAAGGATTCGTTTGGGACAGCTTTCTTACTATTTCTTAAAGCTGCTTTCTAGTACAAAATTTTTTATTTTATATTAAAAAGTTGTGTTAAGAAGCAGTAAGAAAGTCATCCCAAATGAAGCCGAAATTTGGGCTACATCATATATAATTTGATTTATTATAAAATCAATTTCTTAAAATAGGCCCATCCTGAAGTGAGCTTAGTTTTATAATGAATTATTTCGAGTGGCTCATCAACAAAATCAAATTTCCAAATTTCATTTAGAATTTAGTCTTAAAAAATCCTAAAAGGTAGATATGTGTTCCAATTAATCACATCTGGAAAAAAATATTAGATGAAATATTTATATAAATATTATTGAGTTTTAATATATTTTTATATCTAATAGAAAAATCTTAATATTTATGTTTATATCATTATAGTTTAAAAATCACTTCAAAATAAATATATGAAAAGGCATATATTTTTTTTGATAGCTTAATGTTTGTAATATTTTTAATATGATTTAGGAATAAGAGTGCTACATAAATAAATAGAAAATTTAAAGAATTGATTGTATATATATCTGAAATTTTTAATGGGGTCCACATGAAAATTGTGAAAAATCTTGGCACAAAATCCAGACCCTCTCTCTCTTCAGTCAAACCAACCAATCTTTCTTGGATTTCAAGATAGATTATAGAAAAAGAAAGAATACTATACGTAACAAGAGGTTTTACATATCATAACATAAAATTCTTATATATTTACATTTTTGATTGACTACAAAAGGAGTGTTGTTAAGTATTCCAAATGCAAAGGTTTTGAGAATATTAATGTTTGGTTTGAAGTAAAATAAATGAAATGTAAAATTTTGATGCATTTGAAACTCACCAACTAGTTCATTTTTGTGTATTTTGAATTCCTCAGATTTAAAGGAGTTCCAAACATATTATAAATTCATTGCAATTGACACGGCTTGACCGCTCACCGCCATTGGCCACCACCACCGACCGCCACCTCCAGCTACCATTGCCAACCGCCATCGCAAATCAGTAGCACCGCCAGCCACCAACCCTGGCTGGTTGCCTGTCTCCTGCCTTTGGCCACCATTGTAGCTTCTCGCTGCCGGCCACCATCACCATTGCTCACTCTTGGCCACCACTGCTATCAATATCGGTCACCAAGCACTACCTTTTTCAATGTACATTACATCTATTTTACATCAAATCAAACAAAAGAAGTAATCACATACATTTCTTTTACACTCATCCAGATAAATTCAAAATATTCTTTTTACATTGCATTTCTTTTTCAGGTAACCAACTAAGTACATAAATCTTTATATTTACTTATATATGCCTTCAGTGTCAAAAACACATCAAAGCATAGGCATAAAAATGTGTTTTATTTTAAATAGGTCAATATTAGTAGTATTTTTACATAATCTAAAGATTTGATTATTCTATATACAAATATAAAGTATTTTGGGGTGCCTATATAAATTCCCCCAAAAAGAACACCACAGACTGAACAAAGGCTAGAAAGGATTTCTACATCAGGCAAGCATCCTCCCTGTAAGGCTGGAGAACAAATAAAAAGGTTAATATTGGCTGTTAAAGTATCCTTCAAGGTAAGAAATGTGTAGGACTTTGAATTCAAATCTTATTCACAATGCTTGTTCAACTACTGTTAACTAAAGATAAGCCACCTCTTTTATTTCCTTAATTCCCAATGTTTCAATCTAAAATCAATAAAATCCTAACAAAATAAAATCACCTAATGACAATGCCATCCTAATGTCTTATATTTATATATAAACCTAATAGAAACATTTTGGAATTATTATCTAATCCTCATAAGTGCTGAAATGTAACTATAAAACTAAGTAATAAAAAAATCCATACAAATATCATAATAACACCTCAACAAAACAAGAATGATAAACAGAAGTATGAGCACAGATGTCACAAAATCCTCATATGCTGCGTTATTCTGACAAAACTAAGGAATCACCCCAACATTTAAGGGCAGAAAGGCAAACCCATGGTGCTCCTGTGACTTGGAATGGTGAAGTGTCTCAGCCTTCCCTCTTCTTCCTTCATGTATCCCTCACACAAGTAAGTTTTTGAGAACTTATCTTCCACAGTTCTATCAATATCATGAACAAACACATCTGTTTCTCCTACCATCCTTGCTCTTGCCACCATTCCTGCTGTATATATTGCCCCCATTCTCCCTGGAGCATCAGTAAAGTAACCAGTTGGTGCATCCACCATGATCAGATCCCACTCTACCTCATAGAACACACTGGGCAGATCTGTCAGCGCTAGCTGACATTTTGAATATCTTACATCACCCACCTCAGTACACTCCTTGCTCCTCAATTCAAGTAGCTCATCTGCATCCCTCACCTTGGATTTGTATGTTGCATGATATGATTCCAGGTCAGGGAACTTTTCTCTGATTTTCTCCATCCATGCCTTGTCTTCCTCCAGGAAGACAGTGCGGCCGCCATGGTTAAGCGAGCTCCACATTGGGCTGTCATGGCCCAAGCCAAATACCAAGAAGTTGCAGGGGGATCTCTTTGCCAGTATACCGGCGGCGACGGAGATTTCACTGAAGGTTTGTTGCGGTGTGATGTTTGAGGTGGAGTAGTGAATGATGGTGTTGGCCAGAGAAGGAGAGATTTTAGTACATGTGTGCATTGTTGAAGTTGGAGGTAAAGCTTTTAATGATGAGTTTGTTCTTAGTATGATGATGAGTAGAACTACAATGAACAAACCTAGCAGGAGGTGCTTCAGGTTGAAGGAGGCATGGACTTTGTGCCTCATTTTTAGCTTGGTTTGTGAGATCAGAATGCAGTGCTCGTGGTAGTCTTATGAAATAAAATGGGAAGATGGAGATGGTTAGTTGGTTTTGATCTGGCTTTTTCTTTAAGAAGCAGCCAAGTAGTTGGAGGATTGATATTGACACTGCACCTCATGTTTGGTTTCTATGCTTAATAAACGAAAATAAAATATTTGTGAAGAGTTGATATGCTTCTGCTGATTCCTGTCTGGTATTTATCTTCTTCCTGTTGCATTGCTGGGTTTAATTTAGGTTGGAAAACCTGCAATAAAGCTCAGCGTAGAGCATGTTATGTACAGTGTAAGGAAAAAAACCAGATTACAATATAATTTGAGCAAAATTCAATTGCCAAACAAGTTACTCTTTGTAGTTCAAGCAAAAAAATTTGTACAGGCATATTCCAGAACTACCAGACGGTTCAACATCATTTGCTTTTTTAGGTGAGATTTGAACATCTAAACTCTTCATTAGAAGAGAGATAGCACCATTCAGCCAAGAAGTTGATGAAATGATTATTCCTGAGAAATAATTAGCCTTGTAAGAAAAATATGGCTTTTTTGTTTCTTCTTATTGTTATTGGAAAAAAATTATAGTGGTTTGATTGTTGATTTGTAAATAGAAATATCTATCTTATGACTTGATAGAAATGTTTTGCAGTTCTTTATAATTAGTTGTCATGACACATAACTAGTAGTATCTTGCAATAATGGAGCATAAAATGAAATAATATGACTAAAAGGCTCACAAGTAAGGAATTCATTTATTTCCGGTGATGATGACAACAAATCAACCTTTGAAGCATTTTATCATGTCGGTTTTTTATCATTTGGCATTGCTTCCAAGCTTTAAACGGGGCTTAAATTTAGGTTCCTACTAATAGCCAGGGAAAGAAATGATAGGGGATGTGTAGGCATATTTAGGATTCGTTTGATACAGCTTTTGGTCACTATTTTTTTTTTTTTGTTACTTTCAAGAAATTTTTTGTGCAAAAAAAATGTTTATAAAGCAATTAAAAATTGTCCAAAAGAAATATTAAACTAATATCCAACGCTCTAGAACTTTATAATATTGCTTTATCCCTCCACCTCCATTGCTCCGCACCGCTCTTGGACTAGAAGCGTGTTTCCCTACTCACTTGACTCCGACTGAGACTGGAGGGCATGCCTGTTTCACCTCAGAGATTATAGAAGTCTCGCTATAAACCCTACATAAATTACTTTTAATTGGTATTATTTGTCATCTTGATCTTTCTCCAGTCCTAATGTCTTCACCTTCTACATAACACAAACTTCCTTCTCTTACAAATGACCCTAACAAGATTGGCACCTTGGTTGATTTTAGGCTATCACCCTTCTATCTAGTTTGATGAGAATCATTAACCCCTTCAATTCACTCACCCACAACATCTGCTCAGCTTAGTTAGAAAGGCTTCCTCTCCAAACCAAACTCTAGCTGCAAGGGCTTTGATTAGAATTTTGTTGATAATTTGGAGGATGGGGTCTTGTTCTCCTATAATGAAGTTGATTATAGAGCTAAGGATTAGTGAATGGTGTTGGTGATCATGTTATAAGAAAGATACCTTTTTTATGTATCACTTTGGCAGCTAACAAAGGTAACATGGATCTCCTACCTCTTAACGAGGTTTTATTGTTTTTCTCTTTCCTTGTATGAAATAATATGAGAATGCATAATTTTGTGATCCTTAATTTATTAATGGCCAATTTAATATTTAGAATATGATTGTCTGATTTTAAATCTTCGAAGGAAGCCTTCTCTTACATGGATTAAGCTCACTAATTTGGCTCTTCACTAATAGAACCCAAATGGTATTTTTTAAGATTGCGAGTAAAATGTGGATACTTGTGGTAGTGGATCAACTCATCAAAATCTTGACTAACTTTTGCTTTGATACATTTCAATTCCCTTCCTTGATTTTGTTCTTATTAATTAGAATGGGGAGACAAAAAGGTTGTAATAGGTGGTTTTTGATTGTAATAGGCCTCATTTATTTTCTCCTAGGATCCTTCACGCTTTTGGTTCCTTGTTTTGTTGGCCATTAAAAGTTGACAGTGCCACCTCTTTGGGTTCTCGTAATTCCCTTGTGCGTGTTTTAGTTGAGTTAGACATTACTAAAAAAATAAACCGACAAACTCTGGCTTAGACCGAAAATTTGAGGTATGTTTAGAGGATTGAGATGGAGGACTTCTCATCCTTTTGTGATTCTTGTAAATGCATTGTGCATATTATGAGTGAATGTTGTAACCAGTCTTTTGTCTCGACAAATGTTTCAATTTTTACATCTATTTCTCCTAAGTTTAAGGGGAATGTTGTTGGGAAGGCATCTGTTGTGTTGGAAACGGATGTCCTTGTTGGGAATGTGGTTGTTGACATTGTTAATCAAGACATTTCTACTTCTTCCTTATGTCCAGCTCCCTCTTTTAATGATGCTATTGGGTGTAATGTTAATGTTATTGGTTCCTAGGGCGATGACTGTGGTTGGGGTTGATGTTCCAGAAATTGTGGATTCTAGTGGCCCTTCTATTGATGATGTTGATTCCTTTCTGCTTAATGTTGATGAGCATGAGATAGTGTCTATTTTGGTTGATGATCAGTGTGATGTTGGTTTTCAAAGTGCTGGTGATGTCATCTCTTCTATTGTGGATATTCAGATTCTCCAAATATGAATTTGCCTGACTTTGTTATTGTTGTGGATTGTATTGTGCCTTGGCACCTTTTGAGGTAGAGGGTGTGTGACGCCCAGGCATCCATAGTGAAAGGATTCGTCGATAGTCTTGATCAACCTCAAACTCCTGCTCCCTTGCTCAGACCTGAAAATGTTAACCACATATAATGAGCTTCAAAAAGCCCAGCAGGTCACCAAAAGCCTACAACTGAAATCAAAGCACGGTGCGGAAGCAATATGCATGTCAATCAGTCGAATCCATAACAGTCACTTGCACATGATCAGTGAATCTATGCAGCAGATACGAAAATCAGTAATCAATGCATGATCGATACAATCCACAATCATCGGTAAAAGAATTGATAAACAATAATAAGAAATCCATCAAGCTCAATAAATCAGTACATACGTCAAATATCGGAAGATTCTATAAACAGTAGAAAAATCTATATTCAAAAGAATCTCAATTAAATCGATCAGTCAAATCGATAGAGAAAAATCATCGTCTCGATAATAACCGTTATCGTATCAATGGAATCAATCAAATCAATAGAAGAAAATCATCTTCTCAATAATATCAGTTAAATCAACATCGTATCAATGGAATCAATCAAATCAATACAGTAAAACTTATTCCATATCAGTCAATGAATCACATGCAGCAGTTCAATACGGTGTATAGTTGAAGCTATAGTATCAATGAATCAATATCAATGAATCAATAGTAATGAATCAGTAGTATCCATGTCCATAGTATCAATAAGTCAATGCAATATCGATATCCATATCAGTATCAGTATCAATGCTCATTGAAATAATGCGAATATCAATGAAATCGTACAGTAACAGTAAATCCGTAAATCCGTTAATAAATAAATTTCAATACAAATCCGTCGATATCAATAAATCTATAAATCCATAATGAGATCAATAGGTCAATACCGTACACATGCAATTCAATACAATAGTCTTACTGAACAAGTACAATCACTAGCTATTAAGGCATTTTTCGGTATCGATGTATCGTTGTGTCGTTATATCCATTGGCTCAATAAGAGTCGTCACTCTGTGCCCGTCGGCCGCCCGTCGGCATAATAATCTCCTTATGACTCCTAATCGTTATATCAATGATCAATAGAGGATATCGCCAAACCTTTTTTAAAGGAAAGCCCGTTGGCCCACCATCCTGTACAGGTCAAATCAATCTCCAACCAACGGTTCAATCAGTCTTCACTTGTCTTTCAGTAACCATAACAATAATTCAATCATATAATCACATCTGTATGCTTATTCAATCATTCGAATCATCAATTCAGAAAATCAGAGATCGTACGAGAAATCGGCAGCATAACGGCAGTATACGGAATGTACACAGAAATCACAATTTCAGAAATTTACCAAATTACCAGAAATCGAATAAAACAATGTTTCAAAGCTTTACTTGTACTGAAGCAATAATTTCCAACATCCTGAAAATTTTCTATTCGATAAAAATCGCACATAACTCAAAATACCTGGTAAACTTTACAGAAAATACTCAAATCGTGTAAAAATATCATATCATAAACATATCAAAAGTTGTGCGGTAAAACTTTCGTCAATACAAACTTATGCGCGTTTTTCGGCAACGGAAACACAAAACTGAGCACAGAATTATCAAAACTCGAAATCTTCAAAATCAGAAATAGGATTCGGAGTCCTTACTACGAGACAAACAAATCGTCCAACTGCGTCATCGGACGAAAAGCGCTCTGCGGGCTCCAAAACCAAGCTTTTTCCTTACTTTCCTTCTCTTTCTCTCTCCTGCCTTCACTTTCTCTCTCTTCAAATGAATCCAAAATATCTCAAATCCGATACTTATCAAGCAGGATCGTCCCAGACGATCCAAATTCGTCCCGGGACGAACTCCTCTGGATACAGATCGTGAACCAGATCGTCCAGACGAAATTAAATGCCAATTTCGTCGTCCCGGGACGAAACACTCGGGTTCAGTTCGTCCCGACTGTTCCAGGTTCGTACAGACGAAAATGACAGATTTCTTCACAATTTTCTTCAGTTCGTCCGGACTAACAGCACTCACAAAAATCAGCTTTTTAAGGGTTTTACAGGGTGTTCTTGTGATGGCTCTTCCCTATCATGAACTTAATGTTGTAGGGACTAGAGGTTGCGAACTTTCTGCTTCTTCTTTAATTGTGTCTCTAGTTGAGGTGCCTTTTGGAAATACGTCTCCTAACAGATTGAATGCTCAATTTATTTCTAATTTGTGGGTCACTTATATTGTGTTCAGTTGACTTGAAGGGATGCCTTTATTGCTAGGTGATGAGGGCTATGATTTGGGGGTGAGCAGGAGGAATCATTCCAGAATTTGTCATTGTTCTTACATGAAAGAATCAATAATCACTACAGGAAAATGACGTATTACCGGCTGAAAATTTTCATTTTCCAATAGATTTTTTAAGTTTTCGACGGATTTCCTATGCAAATTTTTTCAATGGTAAAACACACATCGAAAACTTTTCCCAGTGAAAAAAATTTGTCGAAATATTTTTCTATTGGTCACCTTGTGCAACACTAGGAAAAGTTTTTGATGTGAGTTTTACCATCAACAAAATTTACACAGGAAATCTGTCGAAAACTTAAAAAATTTGTTGGAAAATAATAAATTTTCTCCTGTAATATGTCATTTTCCTGTAGTGATTGTTGAATCTTTCATGTAAGAGCTCCTCATTGCTCCTCGTGTCAGGCTGTTGGATTTGCTGTTGGTGGTGATGTCACAGATAATTTTTTTGTTATTATTGTGTTTCTCTTTTGACTATTTTTGTTTGCTTTTTTAT